TACGTTACTGTATATATATATATATATATATATATATATATATGAAGAAAATTATACTGCAATAGTATAACAAGTTGGTGAACAAACATCCTGATGTTCTAAAAAAGTTAAAAAGGTCCATCACCTTCTGATTTTGCTTTTATATAAAATTTACTCTTAAATTATGAATACTTTCATTTTATAAGCTTCATTTAGGCTAAATAATTTGGGTAAAAGAAAATATTTTATTTTTTTAAAGATGCCCCCTACCTCGGTAGTACTGCCTATGCTCCTGTACTCAACACAGAAAATTCACAAAACAGTAATTATTTGAGTACAACATTACTGGCAAACTCAATTCACAATGGCCTTGTTATACACAGCATATCAAGATGTGACTGAGCATGTACAGGGAATCAAAAGAAAGCAAAAGTTTAAAAGTTCATAATACCTTCTGTAGTCGACTTAAGTATGCTGCACGTTCACATGAAATATGAGATTTCACTACAATTCAGTTCATATATAACACAGAGTAGTGGTACCAAGAAAACCAGATTTTAATGAGGGAGCACTGGGCAACTGAACAAAACAAGCAAAACATTTTATGCCATTGCCTTGCATAAACCATATTATAAGAATGAATGATCCCCACTTGTGTAAAAATTGAAATTAGTAAATAAAATACTATGTTAATTGGTACACAAAACATTTTATTAAGGCTATCAATGGTCTCCATCTAAAAACCTCTACATGTTTCAACAATATTTTGTCAGCCTCAAGAGTAATTTACAAGCACAAGAAATTTTTTAACAGGTCATGTGACATTACATTCTCTTTATTATTTACATAGCTTATTTACTGACCTTTCGCAAGGGGTCACACCATATACTAACACTAGCTGAATTTTCATCTATTTAATACTATACTACAGATTCAGTGATATATTTTGTAATGAAACTGTTAGCATGAGCTGAAATTATAATTTTATCCCATAAAATTGTTAATTTTATATGTTTTGCTACAGCTGAATTTTCAATTTTCTTACTTCTTACAATACATAATTTGATAAAATATAGATTATATGAACAAAATGTAAACTCATTATAGTTTAACCATTACAAATACTACCACATTCACACTCTGTTTAGTAAATTCCAGTCTTAATCTATTTTCAGGCACATTGTGCTACTATATCAAGAGTCAAAAACAAAACCAAAATAAAAGATATTTTTTTGCACAATGAGAAATAAAATCTTTATTAGTTATAGCTGACTAGTTTCGGTAAAACATTAATGGTAACTTTGTTAGTGAAACTAGTTGGCTATAACTAATAATAAAGATTTTACTTTTCAGTGTGTCAAAAAATGTTTTTTACTCTTAAAGAATCCCAGCCTTATCAATCAAATCTATTCTATCTTTGGTATTCCTTAAAATTTAATTAATCTTATTTATAGGTTTGAAAATTGGATAAAATGTTTCCTGTTTTTTAAAAACATTACATAATTGACTAGTCAACCCTTAAATATAAGGTAAGAACAAAATTTTTATGACTAGTCAATCCTTAAATATAAGGTAAGAATAAAATTTTCTTGACTAGTCAACCCTTAAATATAAGGTAAGAATAAAATTTTCTTGACTAGTCAACCCTTAAATATAAGGTAAGAATAAAATTTTCTTTATTTTTTCACAAGCAGGTTTTAACACACTAATTTGAACAATTCATTACTTTCATCATCTTGTTTAATACACATCTTCAAAGATCTGTTATCATAAGTATAAAATGAATAATTTATTGTGATCTACAATGACAAGATTCCTGGTTTACCAGCATGACAACAACAAAGGGTTTTTCAATAAATTGATGTTTCTAAGTTACCATATATATTATATAACCACACATCTAGAAGAGGTAAACTACTATTTTTTTTAATTTCTTTGAGTACTTCAATAAGCTGTATAAACTTTGTTGAAACACATGCTGTTTCAGTTACATTCAAATTATAAAATAAGTGAAGTTGCAATAAAACACACTGGACAAAAAAAAAAAAGAGAAGATACATGTAATTCAATTGATGGTACTATACTATTTAATGTAGTATAATTTACCTGTGGTCAAAACGAAGTAACAAAGCTATGAAGATTCCAGGGATTACAATATCTCCAAGCCCTAACATTGCAAAATTAGTGCCATACACACCCCTTTCAAGGAAATCTTGAGGAAAAACCACTATTATGAGAAAGAGAACAGAAGAAACAACTCTGTTATAAAAAAAAATAGGTATCAATCTTCTGTTTAGAGAACACTGTATATCTTTAAAAATCTTTAGAAGAAAAATCTAAAAAATTTTTTATAAATATGTACAAGAAACCCTTTCCAAAAAAAGTAAATTTGTGAATAGTAATTATAGTGTAAATATTTTCATATATGTATTAAAAAGTAAATACTTAAATAAAAATAACTTGGAAGTACAAGTCTACTTAAAAGTCATAGGCCTATAAAGCCCTACTCCATAATATTTCTACAATCAATGAAGATGGTCACAAAATACTCAGTTGATCACAAAACTCGTTTTGTTATCCAATTTCACCAATCATATCCTACAGTTTACCAACTTAAAAGATGATAATGTATGAACATTATTTAAACATTTTTCAATGCAAGTAAGTGTATAAACTAAAAAACTTCAAGCAATTTTTTCACCCAATACCATAAAAACAAATTTTATTACAATTCTTATAAAAGAGTTAAAAAGTAATAAAACTACAAGCTGTATTATACCAGTTATTTCATTTTTAACTTAAACATACAATCTGTTTCAACCATAATGAAAATGCTTTTATAAAGCAGTTCAGTTATTTTTCATTTTATGAGATTACTCTGATGGATATTTTAATGAACCATTATAAACATTTGTTTATTATCCCTTTTAACATAAACACTCACACTTGATAGGAGCTTCAAATGACTTTGCAACTGTGACCATAACATCAGTACCAAATACCTGCATAAAATATGAAATATTATTTTATAACAAACAACTACGTAACACATATAACACTCAATCAGCCTTCTTAAAGATAACTTAATAAACATGTTGATACCATACAAAGATGACAACATGTTAAACATGTTACAGAAACTAGCAGGTCTGGAATACAATTTACTAAGGTATTACTAAATCCACAGAGCAAAACATACAAGATGCGTAGTTTACACTTATTTTGGACGAGTTAATGCATGTTGACAGTATATTCGAACTTAAGTTTTTTCTGAATCACCCATGTTTCCATAAGAGTTCCATTGAAGTATGATAGAAAACATTTTTTGTTGAACAAGACGAGTAAATCTTAATGAACTATTTTTGCACTCAACAATATTAAGTTTCATTTCACCAACAAGGCTGCTGTGTTAGATCTTGTTTACATTAGGCCATATCAGCCAAGTAACTGGTTGAATGGAGAAAAAAAAAATAACAAAAATAGATATCAAAACAAATATATAAATTAATATAAAATGAGTTTAAACTTATTACATATATATTAAATGAAACATTCTGACTAACAATTTTAAACAAGTTGGCTTGCTTATGATTTTAGCATTAAAATAGTCATTTCTATCATATGTAAATCATTGTAAACATAGTGAATCTACTTGCCTTGTTTTTGATTTAAAACAAAGATAAAATTTACAGTTTTATATCAGTTTTAAAAGAATGCAATTAAAATGTACAACAAAGGTAAGCATTTTTAATTGTTGCTTAGAAAAATGTGTCACAATGAAAAATATTTCAAATATAAATATCATATAGGAAAAAATTTTACTTGCACAAACTAAATAAATTCTCATGTGTATGAGTTAACTAGAATCTTGCAAACCATGCAGTTAGAGCACTTCTTAAATGCTTGCCCCATTTCTTTCCCAGCTACAACTCTTATTTAAAGAACAGCTTAAATTCTTGTCTCCATCTCTTTTCAAAACATAAGAATTAGCTGCCTCAAAAGAGTTATAAAATGTCCAAACAAATAAAGTATAATGTTTTTTATTGGATAAAAGCAGAGTATTTTATATAATTACACAAGGTACAAACCTCTTCCTTCAGCTACCACACATTGTTTGAATCACAATTACAACAAGATTCACTGGAATATACCAGGCATAACAGAATTTTATGAACAATGAATACTACAGCCTAAGCACCTGCAATAGCAAGGCTAACTTATGATTAGCATGCTTTATTTTTTCATAGTTACGATTTATTAATAAATATATTTTACTATATTAAAAAGCTTTTATTATGCTACATTTTAATTTCAGGTGTCAAATATCACCACCTATACATAATATTGAATTTACTGGATTTGTTAGAGAAGATGAATCAATGATAAGATAATCTGGTTTAAATAATTAGTAGTACATAAAATGTCCTAAATTTTGAATAAAAAATAATTGGTAATCAAAAAATAGAATAAACAGTACAAAGAAGCTGAGTCAGAGAAACTGAAAACAATAAATAGCTGGTTACTTAGTAAAATTCTACACATTCCCATATACAATAATATTATTCAACTTACTTTGCAATAAGGATATAATACTGAAAAATGAAACAGTAAGTTTAGTGATGTTCATTATCAAAATAAAGAACAAAATAAGCAATTAATGAATATTTCTTAAGATTAAGAAAATTGCAAATCATATTTAAGTGACAGATTTCATCATTTCTATACTTCAGGTTATTAAATGCAAAATTATTTAAGCAGTTTATTAATATTAAGATAAATAGAGAAGACCTTTAGCTCAGCAAAAAATGCCCTAACAGTAAAAACTTTCATTAAAAGACAAAAACATCTTTAGCTCTTTCATACTTACCCAGAATACATCATAGATGAAGAGCCCACCCAGAAGAATGCAGCCAGTGATCACGCTGTTTAGGTGAAGAAGCTCTACCCCATTTATAGCAAAGGCTAAGCCAAACAAGTTGTTAGCAACCCAATGCTGTAAAACAAAAATGTTCGTGTACAGCGAACTAGATAGACAATTACCAGTAATCTAAAATTTGAACACACATACATACTGTACGTATGTATCTATCACAACTACAGTTCACCAACAGACTGTAACCAACACTAATCAAAATAACATATTATCGTACATACAGTTATATAGATGATAAATATTGTCAGAGTACTATATTATCATTAAACACCAAACTTTCATGGTGTATAATGATGCCTAAAATATCAAAGCACCATTCACTAGTTACCATTATGGGGTTTTGGCTAAAGAGTATATAGGTAAAGGAACAGGGAAGGTAGTGGTGGATAAATGTCCAATCACCAAATGTGATATTTAACAATTTCTTACATTTTGATAGAATATGTGCAGTGAAATAATGAGGTAATGTTTTAGATACTTTAATATATTTCTTAGACTAAAAATAAAAGAAAAAATAATAACATTGCCTTTAAACTTCAAGGTACTTCCATCCACACTTTTTAATTTCTTTACCTGGAGCAAATAACATCAATTTAACTACATCTTATATGTCATAAGCCACTTTGAATTTTGTCACCCACCAACCTTGATGAGCTGTAGTATTTTGCAAAATACTCATCTTACTGCAAAGTAAATATGGATATGATTTTAAACTATTACTTTACCTGTGACATAATATCACACTAATACAAATTAGGACCAGATTAGTTAATCAATTACCTACGAGTATCAATTAGTGTCATGTAAAGTCAGTTAATCAAAATTATGAATAATTCAATTAATGTCACTTAACTATTCAACTCATCCATATTTTTTGTTTTTTCTGTTATTACTGTTTTTGACTATTTCAGTTATTCAGATAGATAAACAAAATATTGTTAATATTATTTTTGATTAATGTCAACACAAACAATAATCAACTAATTGATATTAGGGAAAGGTATCTTATTCATGAAAAATTATTAACTTAGTATCCTTCATTAGTTTTATACACTAGTATATCCCAAATTGTCCTTGTTCTCAGTCTGATTAATCCTAACAATTAGTAGAGTATAATGTTCAAATGAAAAGCCTTCAGAGAAGATTCTTATTTCACTAATAAGTTTAACTGCTGTCTTGAAGAATAAGATGGAAAATCAATAATGTTTGGTTTTTAACTATGATAATGCTCACTTATAGTATTCTAGACATTGCATTCACTCACACAACAACCAATTTCATAGTTGGTTTACTACAGTTGGTATTTCATTGGATGATACAATGTACAGTTAAGGTGATTAGAAATTCGAAAATAAATACAATGTAAACATACAAGCATGAACAATGCTTTTCCCAATAACACTGCAGTTGAAAGGTAAATAAAATGTTAAAATATACTGTGTATATTAAGATCAGTGCTATACCAACTACAAATATCAACAAAGTTACATGTAGAAACAAATAATTTAATAATACTAATAACAATTTTTTTCAGAAATTAGGTTTTTTCTTTTACATTCTAGCAAATAACCTGTATATATTTATTTAACATTCAAATAAAAGTTAAAACAATTTAAGTCCTTAAAAAATAAAATGTTCATTTTACAAGTTATAATCGTTACTAATCTTGGTCTCTACCACAGGGTTTACTTTTACTATTTAAATTACAGATCACTATAATCCTTTCTAAGCATATTTTTTTTTCTTGTTCTGTTAACTGTTATTTTACTGTGTTTGTTAGTTCAGTTTTGGAATATTAATTTTGTGATTTTAACAAATAAAAGATATGTTGTACGTTGTGTGAAAAACAAAATTTGCAAGAAGTGAAACTGTTGTATTAGCACCTACAGCAAACATTAGATTATCAATGAGTTAAGCTAATTTGTAGCCAAAGAAATAAAATACTGTTATTAAGTGGGCTTTGCATTCTTTTTTTTTAAATATAAAATCCCAATGAATCTAACCAACAATAGAAGACCATTTTAATAAAAGTAACTTTTACATGCTCAGTTATCCTGGTATAAGCTTCACTTCAACAAATAAATCACTATATTAAACACCATTGTTTGTATCACTATATACTTAGTTAGGAATTCTGTAGTCTAAACTTTTTCTTAAAATCGTGTACAAGTTAAATCATCCCAATAAAGACTTAAATCAAAACAATCATTGTAACAAAGCATTAACAGCATGAGTACCAAACTGATGAAACAACATTCTAATCTTTATAAATAGAAACATAAAAAAGTACATTTAATTAACTATACTAATTGCCAGGTTGATTTTTAGTTTTAATCAAAAGTTAATATTAGTTACCTTTTTCCACAGATACCAGACACCCATTATAGTACATATGAACAGACAAACAAGATCCTTGTGGTCAAACTCATAGTTGATTACTTCTATATGCAAGAAAAATATTTATCAAGTTCTGATTTCTAGGTTAAGACATCTAAAATTATTAGCTTACAAATACTCAAACCATAAACCACTGCAGTGAAGTTTTATCCACAATATCAATGGAGTACTTATTCATAACAATCAACAACAATTTTGCATGTGATTCGTAATTAAATCAATGTCGTTCTATAAAAAATAACATTCATAAAAGTAGTCCATTTAAACAGTGGCACTTCTATTATTAATGCCACTAAATACCTTGAGTAATGTAGACTTAAACATAGTATTTAGTGACTCAAACACCTACATTTTCAAACTAGTGACCATTGTGTGCCTTAAATTATCATATCAGTGAACCTTACAACAATTAAAGTAACAGGAAGAAAACTTCTTAAATAACTGGTAAGAAGAGCTTCAGCAGATCTATAACACTGGTTAAAAATCTAAACTAATAACCAGTTGCCTAGCAAATACAAAATATAATAGATTAGGACAAAGAAGAGCCATTTCTGAATGACAGCATTCTTTATGTTCACAAGTCAAATTTAGGTCATCAAAACAAGAACAATCATCACTAGCAGTAAATAACTTCTATAATATGCCTGTCAGGAACTAAAGCATGAAGTCTTCAGAACTAAATGTATCACTCTTAAAAGTGAACAATTTCAGGAAGTTTTCTGTCAGAAGCTAACCTGTAAAGTTTCATTGCAAAGTGAGTCCTGGAAAAAAGTTCCTGGTAACTTGAAAGGGATATGTAGAATGATAACTTTCCATAAGAAAAAAAAAAAAAAACAACTCCTGTTTGGTAAAATAGTAGACTAAGTAAGCACCCCCACACTTCAAACAAAGATGACAGGAGAACCAAAAACTGGAATACTGCTGGAGACAACTAAGTTTCCAGTATTTCTGTAAGTAATGCTAAAATTAACTTATTTAACAAGAATATATTATTTTCCAAAATCCTATCTATGGAAAAATAAAAGGATTTAACAAAGAATAAATGAAGAGGACAAAAAAAAAAAAAAAACGCTTTAAACCTTTTTACATAAACAAAAAAGTAAAAAATAACTGACATACAATGTTGCTTCTAGGATTTTTATCAAGTGGGACAAGTGTTCCACTGACTTCCAAAAAGTGTGCCATCCGTGTAATGAAGCAGGTATATATATATATATATATATATGCATCATTTTGGCCAAAAAATTTAGTAACTTTTTTCAAAATTAACTGCTTCTCTGTACCTTTAATTTTTTCCCCCAATTTCAATCATTAATATCCCATAATATCAAGGAAATCTCCTGCAAAACCAAATGACATAACGCATCCAACCATGTTCCTCTGCATATCCAAATAAGCTAATTACTGTTCAGAATTTTTTGGTTACAATTGCAATCTATTGTTACAAAATCATTCAAAATACATTTCGAAGGGCAGGCAAACACACAAAATTAAAATGCATAGTTACTCTCAAATTATGAAGAAAAAATGCTCAGTTAATGAGAAATGTCAATTTTCAAAATGGATTTACGGATATTCAATTAAGAAAAAGCAAGGTTTGCCCCTTAACTTGCTTGTTTAGAGAGATTTAAAACTCAGTTATGATAGTTCAACTGGGCTTGAAATTAGCAGGGGCCCAGGAGCCAATGGCCCTAAAAAATGCCAGTGGGCCTGTAACAAGTGTCTGCTAGGTAGCCTGTGTAGCCCCTTAAAATCAAAAGAGCATTAAAAGTTTGACTCCACATAAATTGATTTCGGTATTTCTTAACCAAACAAAACTTATGATGAAACATTAACCCTTTCGAGACGGGTCTCAGGTGAAAGGCCATATCATCTCATTTGTGAACTCGCATTCAAAATTTTTATTGAACTACTATTTCAAGAACTTATGTCAATAACTTTGGTATCAAACTGTAGATTATAATTCAAATTTTTAGTACTATACATTACTCAATTTCTTAATTTAAAAGTAAATATTTAAAAAAAAAACAGATAAAAATCAATTTTTGTGTGTTATGTCGTATGTTGTATGCAGCACTGGTTCAAATTTGATGTTTGTGAAGTCAAAATACTAAATCTATAGTTTCGTATGAATTAAAAACTCAAATTACCAATATTGACAAGCTAGAATATAAAATAAAAAGGTCTTATCTTTACTCTTTTTTAAAAATTTCAGTGTTGACTGAAGGATAGAAACAAAAAAAACTCTTTCCATTTTTGGAAACACTCCCTTATATACATTTACTCCTATATATGACATGAATAACCAATCGGAAGCTCAGAATGTCCCCCTAGTGGCTTTCTCAGCCGATTTAATGGAGGTTGGTGTCATTTCTTTCTTTGAAAACCAATATTTCAACGAGATAGTGTGTGTTTTTAGTCTGATCAAAATTTCATATTTTTTTAGACTAAAATGAATCTCCATACAATTTCCATAAATTTTGTGCTATGGCCTGATTTGAGTTATGTTAAATGCTTGCCTAACAAATAGGGCTAGATACCCAGCTATGAATGGCTAATCATAAAATGGTATTCTGAAAACCATTAATGGTGTATTAGAGAAGGGTGTATTAATTGAAATGGCAACAGAATTTCAATTTGGTGCAAAACACATGTGCACAGAACAATTACAGTGTGATCATGCTAACAGCCAACTAACAGTTTTCAGATTCACATTCTCCTCCCAACATACCTTACAGAATATTACGCCATTGTCTTTGTCATAGTGTAACCAGTTATTATTATTCTTCCACTCTAACTCGTGTAACTACTTTTCTTCTATTCATAATCATGGTCCCATTGCTTTTTCTTTTGTTGTATTATTTTTCGGATCATAAACAGTTGGTTTTCTTCACTTATAAAAAATGTTTAACTTTGGTAAATTTTTGTGTGATTTTTATGCCACAACTTTTGAATATCTTTTGGCAACACTGGTTTGTCATGGGTAGTCTTATTCATAAGTACAAAGACTTTTGCAACAACAATTTTTTTGATTAGGAAAGGACACTACTTTAAATGGGAACAAAAGAAAAGATTACATTGACAGTGATGCATAGATATTCTTTCACTATTTATTTTTATTATTGAAGAACACTATTTTAAAGGGGGAACAAAAAAGTTACTATTATATCATGCTTTAGAGAGAAATTAAAGATCTTATATGAAACAAAAATCAATTAAGTTGTCTGAAAAAATGATATGTATTTTTTCATGAAATATGAGTTTACAATGAAATAAATTGAGATATGTTGATATCTTTAGTTTCTTTTCAACTTACATAACATCTGCTATTTAATTCTGATAATCTCAACTACAGAGTACAGTTTACAATGAGCCATTGGATTGGACCACTAAAACTGCTTGTGGGCACCTAAAAATGCATGTTTTGGGAGCCCAGCTGGCTCCCTAAAAAGAAAGTTAAGTGTGAGCCCTGTTCAATTGAAAGATATTAGTCTCATGTTGTATTGTAAATCAAAGACTTTCAGATTCAAGCCACATTTCTTAACATTATGATCTTTTGAAGTGATAAATAAGGATCAGATTTAAAAAATTATATTTCCCTTGTTTTACAACAATGATTGTGTTTTCTTTAATAAGAGCTAACCTTCTTTCTGTTCCCCTTGTCCTTTACTGAAGATCAGATGATAGAATTCATTTGGAAAGCTCTCTGGAATCATTTTATTCACAACTGGGCTAAAAATAAGTAAACCAAAAACCCACAAACAGTTATCTATATGTGAATTGCAAATTAGTAAAAATATCAGATTTGTTATAAGCCATATCCATTATGACACCAAGTCAAAACACTGTCATTATAAAAATTACTCATCTAATCAACAAAACTGGAATAAAAGATGCATACGATCATTTTGTATTTAATTTGTCACCACCTAACAGAACATGTTTTTTAATGTAAGCAACCACTATTTTTTGTACATTACATTTTATGTAGGAAAATACTTATTTTATTATGACTTGCTTTTCCTGTTAGTAAAAACTTCAACAATTCTTGTTAAAATTCTTATTACTTCATATGACACCAAGTAAGTTATCTTAAAAACCTCTGATGAATTAACAGAACTATACTGTACTTTTCATTCTAAAAGACCACATTTGGACAACAGATAAAGTAGGCTTTAAACAAAAAGTTAAACTACAGTAATATGGTGAAGAATTTTGCAAGAAAACTTAAATGTACTGCTCTCCAAAAAACAGAAGAATATAAAACATAAAATACTCCAATGTAAAATTCTCACTTTAACTTTTAAAGTAGCTACACTTCAACATTTTTTATTTTACTTTAGTAGCCATGCTAGAATTTAAATTTCAAAACTTTTTACTAGATGTTTCAAAAACTCTTAAATTACCTGGTAATCAAAAAAAGAAAAACACTAAACTCTGATTACTTATAAAATTGTATTGGTATTACTGTTCTTATAATTGTCTAAAGAAATGTTCTGTAAATACTTGTCATTAATGCAAACATACAAAACAAAAACATTGTGTAGTAAGTCCCTATAATTAATTTACAATGATAAAGTATAAACTTTGATAATATGATCAACTTTCAAAGTTTTCAGTTAGTCTTAATGAGCATGGAAATCAGCTGGAATACATACCTTAAAATGTGTGCTAGTGCCAAAACTCCCAAAAAAAAGAAGTAACCGGTAAGAAGCAAATTTATGTATTCTTTTGAAAAAATCTGTAAAAAGACACAAACCTGTTTTACAGATCTTTTCATTCAAACAGAAATAAAAACTACTTAGAAAATATGAAGCTATCCACAGTAACAACTTTAATCTACTCTGCAAGAAAAGTAGTCTTTCACAAATTTTATTTTACAGTTTAGTAAATAAATACACTGAATTAATCGTGTCTGAAAAAGCAACATTTATAAATCAACTCAACCAGTTTTTAAGAACCAGTAAATGACAATAAAGATGTTCTTAAACCAATTAAATTCTCATAAAATATATAATGGAGTGTACGTTCAATGAACGTACGAAAATAAATATTATATTTTATAATTTCAGAAATTAACAGTAAATACATTTCAAATTGTTTCAATTTTTATAGTAAAAAATAGGAAAAATACACAACTTTATATATAAGCAATAGAACAAAAAAATTAAAACATATATTTAGCTCCCTCAGCAGAATATATATAAAGTGGCCATATTCTATAAGCCAAATCTATGGACACTTGTACAGACATATGTACCTGCATTCACCATAATTCAAGATGCAAGCAATATTTATACTTCTCTGACAATAACATTTTCACTTGTTAACAGTTAGTTCAAATACCCACTAAATCTCATGCCTTAATAACATTGTCATATTCTAAATAAAAAGAAATGAAAGAGTAAAAATGTTCTATGGCATGTTCAAGCTACAGCAACTTCAGCAGTTTCATCATATGATGCTGCTAAATCTAAACTAATAATCACAATAATAAAAAACTGGCTGAATATTTCTTATATATTTCTGTATGGATATTTCAAGGACAATTTTTTGAAAAGGGAAAACTTTCAGGTTTATCTTTTCCCCGAGATTAACATTCCTCACACGGAGAGCAACCCTGGAATTCACGAATGATATGTCACGCTAGCTATATCTCACTCTATGTTATGGGAATTTTTAACAAATACTTTGAAATCTTCTTTCATATACTTCATTTGATGATGTTAATATCACTAGATGAAACTGGTTTATGTTCCTTACCTTGAAGAATATGTAAATTCCCAAAAGTGCACCACTTGCAATCAATGGGAACATGGCAGCATCTCTGTGAGACATGGTGTCAGGTTTTTCTCCAGATTCCTAGTAAAAGACAATTTTACAAAGTACTAAGCATAATAAAAATATTAAAAAACATATGCTCACCCTCTGTTTTACTGTGAACAAGGATATAATACTGCTACTACTACACGCTTTGACTACAGAACATGTCTTCTATACTAACACTGCAGGGAAGTAAAAGTTTTTTTATTAGATTCCACACATTTAGCATTACAAACCTTTGGAATTCCACTCCTCCACACACACACTCATTCTTTACTGTATGACACCTGTTAAATTTTTCACATATGCAAATAGAACTAATTAGATCATTCAAGCACATCTTTTATGATTTGAAAACTGTAAGAATGTGTTTCTTAAGTTCAAACAAGCCACATAAGGATACCTATAGTGACTTTTATATTTCATATCTGTTTTCTAAAGTACCAGTAACTTTTTATTCCTCCTTATTTCCAATTTTTTACAAAACTAGAGTAAAAAAAAAATTTATACATAATCCTAAGTCTTCTCAACTTCTCATGAGGTTCTTCTGTTCATCTCTAAAGGCGATTTTGATATTTTTCCATGAAACTATAAATTACAGCTCATACCACTTTACAATGATGTATATAATTTACAATCAGCTTTAACCAAATATATTTAAAAATCACCTGTAGCTATTCTCAAAGCTGCACTTCATTAGTAATTGTTCAGACATGTTGTGGCATCACAGAAAGATTGGAGTTTATAGGATGTTATAATCTTAAATGATGAAAGTTTCTTTTCAAATGTAAACATATACTTTCGATTGAACAGAATCTTTTTTTTTTTTCATTTAACTGATAAATACATGGTTTATAAGCAAGACTCCTTGGAGCTACATAGAAATAAAAGTTGGAAAATTATTTTTTTACTTTTCTTTGTCAATTACACTAAATATTTATAAGTGAAAAACTAATGTAATAATTAATTATTATTTTTACATACATTTTGTAGTTAGATGTGCAAGATTAAAGACAAATTACAGAATCAAGCAGTACTGAAAATGTCCTATTCATCAGTGTTCTCTTGTCTTACATTTATTATTGTTCTTAGTTATCATGCAAGGACACTTTAATTATGAAGACGATCAACAATGTAAACATTTTCCTTTGCATTAACTTATTTTATTTTCTAAGATATTCCACAACATAACAATAACAAATTTATTTTGTTTTATTTTCCCAGTGATTTACTTCATGTTTAAACTTATGCACAAATAACATACCTATATGTTTATGATGTCGATATTAACACCATTCATTTAAAACTAATGACTTTGAATCTTCCACTGTCATTTGTATCATAATGCCTCAAGATAATAATATCCCTGTTTTCAGTTCTTATAGTAACAAATTTTGACATATAGTTAAGTGAACTAATCCAATCCAATCATGACAATTATTGCTTTAATAACTAACACCACTATTAAAATACACACTACAGCATACAAAACATTAAGTAATTCCAGAAAAATTATATTAAATAAACAAAACTGATAGCCTAATAATTTGTCTCTTCTTGTAACTACATCAGTAATTTGTGCCAAAAAAAACACATAATCACAAAACTTTTGATTAGATACATGACAATAACAGTACACATTTTCAAGCAACAATTCTGTATTAGCAGTGAGTCTTCACAAAAACTAGGCAGTTCTTGTTATTCAAGGACATATTAACTGTAATAATACAACAGTGATTTATTGATCATTAGCACATATATAGAGTTCTCTCATTAACATATCAGAGGCTCAACACTTCAAAACATATTTATGTGTATAACTTTTAAATTATAGTGTTAGTATGTCAGAAACAGCTAAATAAACACAGAAAATGAAAAAAAATAAACCTGATAATTAATGTGAAGCAGCTGTTCCTTAAATTCTATATCTATCAGATTCCTTTATTATATCAAAAACTACTTATGCCAGCATTCCATAATGTGTGTGGAGCATGCCCCACAGGGGGGCACAGATGATCTCTTGAGGAGGGGAGCATGAGCAATAAGGAAAAATTAAGCATTTTAATATATTTTATCTATGAAAATAATAAGTAATCACTACAACACATATAACATTCTAATGTGTATCCGTGTATTATATCACATCACTTAAGCTCATGCAATAACCAAATAATGTAGTTTGTTACATACTGCAATTGTTGAAATTACATTTGGCACATCTTTTAAATTTATAGTACTAGTGAAAATATTAAGAACTTAAGACTCTTATGGATCCTTCTTCGATTTAAGTCTGTAATGACTGTATACAATTTACAAATATCACTTGCCTTATTCAACTTTGAAGATTCTATTTTCGTAATTTTATATTATAAACTTTAAAGTTTACTACTTTCACCTTCTTAACAAAGTAAAATATTCCGAAAAGAGCTACAATCAATAACGTACTTAATATGATAGTTGATACCATATTTTTATTGACAATGTCAATGGTCTGTAATTGTAAATAGTGAAGAGTCATTTGTAAACGTGTCCACTCTATTTATTACGTTAATAACAATATGTTATACGTATTTAAATACATTACCTACCTTTTGTTCCTTATGGTGCTTCACAGATCGGAAAGAACCAAAGAAAATTGGCAATATGGCCATCAAAATTAAACTAGTGTACGCAAAGGCCATTCCTTCAGGTGTTGCTTTCCACTTCTCTGTTGCATTTTGGCTAGTTTCATTTAAAGTAGCATTTAGTTCAGAGATCGTCTGGTTCACGTTGACATCCGCCATAGTGCTGTACTTCCAAGTGACTCGTCAGTAACGGCCAGTTGCTATTCTCGAACGCAACGTGTGATTCAGGGAACGCCCTCTGATAGCTAGCGATGAAAAAGTCTAATATATTATGTAAAAGACCTAAATTTCATAATTTGAAAATTATCATTTTACTCTTTTTACAATTATTGTTTAAGTATAACCCTATTATATTGTACTAATACCTTATTATTTTATGATCTTTTAATTATATACTATATGTAACTCACTATGGATTGGTACTCAGAGCCATTATTTTTGGGTATGTTTTTTTTTAAAGCAAAGCCACATCGGGCGATCAGCTATGTCCAGCAAGGTGAATCGAGTCTCTGATTTTAGTGTTGTATATCCTTATACTTACCGCTGTTCCACCGCGGTATATCATTTTTGGAAACTGGGTACAATTAATATTAAGATTTATTATAATCAGAAAATCCATATTGCAAGTACGGGAATCATATGACCACTCCAGATGAGAGCAGTCTTATTTATTTTTACGGTTTGATTTTGATATATAAGCTAGATCTATAAATATCGAAAACGCCCTTTTTATCGCAGATCCTGTCGCTTTGTGTGGTGACTACTTTCCACTTTGTTTTATTTTGTACAAGACTCAAATTGTGTGTTTTTCAATTATTTCAGGGACGTATTATATCTTATCTCAATTTTTGCAATATTCTGTTTCTCCAGTGGGGATGAAAGAGGCACTATCTGTCTCTCTGGGTGGCATACGTTTCTTATGGTTACCAGAATAATTTTTCAGCGCAGACTTTCACACTTTTATATTTATCTTTATGTTGCGTATCTGCTCGTTTGTTAATTTCCGGTATAAATTATTTCCGAGAAACTTCAGCGATACAAGTCCTTTCTTAACTAAAACTAGTTTATTCTTTCTCGATACGACTTTGTAATACACAGAATTTCCACAGTCACTTTATACTTAACTACTTTTATAAACACAGGCTATAAATCACAGTGATTCACACACTTTACCTACGGGGCCTACTGTTTGCTTGACTCTATCTCTCTCTCTCTATCTCTCTCTATACATATATATATATATATATATATATATGCAATTCTAACCTAGCTTTGTTTGCCGGGCTTATATACTAAAAAAAGAGAGCGCCTGGAACAAACTAGAGTTGCCAGGAAAATTCATGATCCTTCGAGAATCTCATCACGTGTTACCAGCGTACGTGACATCCGCTGTCATAACACTGCCCCTTCCTTAGTATTGTTCGTCTCGAACAATAGCCACTTACTTTAAACCTATAGATAATTAACAATAACTTGATTAAATGTACAGAATTTACGAACACAATATTAAAATACAACAAAGTCTCTTACTTTTACAGGACGTATCTTCTTCCGTACTGGTCTCTGTCTCATTGCCTTCTGCTTCACGTGGGGTTCATCTGCTCCATCAGGAAATGTTCCATTATCGGTAACAGTCACATCAGTGGTAGTAACTTCATTGACGGCTTCACTGTTTCCCTTCTCTAAACCGGGTAGAGTTTCTTCTTCGACAGTGGCTTTTCGTTCCAACTGAAATGTCCTGGACTGTGATAACGCCAAAGCATGTTGGCATGCACCACCTTTGGCTTACATTGCCGACAAAATTTTATTTGGAAAGTCACGTCTGTTAGACGATCCACAATGTCATATGGGCCTTCCCATGGAGATGACAACTTAGGAGACTTCTCTTTGGTCTTCATGGGATTATACAACCACACCTTGTCTCCTGGTACAAAGCTGACTTCAGTAGATCTCTTATCATAACATAGCTTCATAGAATCAGCAGACGTTTTCAACTTTGAACGCACTTGATGGTGAATATCATCAATCCTTTCCGATAACACTTTCATGAACTCTGGCACATTTTCAGGCAACTCTTCGTAAGGTGGGCGTCCTGTTATCGGGTCCACTGGCAACCGAAGTTCCCGACCAAACATCAACTTTGCTGGGGTGTATTCAGTGGCTTCATGCTCTGCTGTTCTATAGGCCATCAACAGTGGAGGGAGTGAGACATCTCAGTCATCTTGGCGGCTATTACAAAACTTTGCCAGTTCCTGTCCCAGTGTCCAATTGTACTTTTCTACCATCCCATCAGACTGTGAGCGAAGTGGCGTTGTCCTGGTCTTTCGTATGCCAAACAACTTGAAGCATTCATGGAAAACAGCTGATTCAAAGTTACGGCATTGATCTGAATGCAGTTCGTATGGCATACCAAACCGGAAGAAGAAATCACTAATAGCCGAAGCTATAGTTATATCTTCCTGATTTGGTATTGCATATGCCTCAAGCCACTTGGTGAAATAATCCTTCACCACACAAATGTACTTGGTTCCGCACGAGTTTGGGGCAATGGACCAGCAATGTCAATGGCCACTCTTTCCATTGGTGCGCCAACTTGATATAACTTCATTGGAGCATGTCCCTTATGCTTGGGTCCCCTGTTAGCACAACATGTACTGCATGTTCTGCACCATTCTTCCACATCTTGCCTCATATCTGTCCAGTAAAATCTCTGTCGTAGGTGACTCAATGTCTTCTCAACTCCGAGATGTCCTCCTGTTAAACTATCATGGGATTGACGCAGCACAATTTCCCGTAACTTTCTTGGTAGAACTGCTTGCCAGGTCGTCACTTTTCCATCTGCAGTTTCCCATCTCAGGAGAAGAATACCATCTTCAAGCTTCAACTGGTCTCATTGTACCCAATAGTTCTTTGTCACAGGGCTTAAGCTAGACACCTTCTCCCAAGCAGGGCGCAAAATGTTTGCTTTTAAAAAAATCAATTACTGGCTTCAAATCTTGGTCTTTCTCCTGCTCTGCTTTAACATGTATACCTGGTTCCATTTCACCATCATCAACTTCTTCAGTCACTTTGACTTCAGCTTGATGGCACCTGGTTAGTTCAACCTCTCTTTTGCAGCAATGTCTGTAGTCATTTTTGCAGGGTCTTCGGCTCAGTCCATCAGCATTTCCATGAGATTTTCCTTCTCTGCATTCAATGTCATAATTATACTGGTCCATCTTTCCGATCCAACATGCCAGTTGTTCCTCTGGGTTCTTTAATGATCTTAACCAGCGTAATGCAGCATGGTC